AGATATTAAAGAGAACTGGGCCCAACTGAAGCTGCATGGCACTTAGCAGCCACGAATTGTGCTGTTGGAAAGCACCACTGAAGGCCTACACAAAATTCACTCTCACCTTTCAGTGCGGCTGAATTGGTGTTTGGGTTTTAGCAGCAGAAGGGAGAGCAGGGGATGGGACACAGTACCTGTTGATATGACGTTGTGTAGACCATAACATTCTGCTGTTGGCCATCTGTGGTTATTAATCCTGCTGGCAACTGGTTAGCTAAAGAAAGAGCATTTTAAGAAGGTTAGACAGGAACTGATGGATAAACAGAGCCTTGTTTGATGTCACCATTCCAGAACCTTTAACTGTGTGCACTTCAGGGCTACAGAGCCATTCACCTCCTGACTACGACCACCCCACACTGAGTAGAGACACGTTTGTTCCTGAGTGTTACACGTAAAGTTTATTCCTATTAAGAAGAAACACTTAACTAAACCCAACTTAATTTTGCACTGGATAATCTAAAAGTAAAACTGTACCTTGTTCTTCCCCTGTGTCTGTAGCAGAACTTACACAGCTGTACACAGGCAAATAACAACAGGCTGTCCCTGAGCCAACAGGGTGTCCTTGTGGCTAAGAAGGCCAATGGAATCCTGGGATGCATTGGGAAGAGCATTGCCAGCAGGTCAGGGAGGTGATCCTGCCTCTATGCTCAGCCCTGGTGAGGTCACACCTGGAGTGTTGTGTCCAGTTCTGGACTCCTCGGGACCAGAGGTACATGGAGCTCCTGGAGCAGGTGCAGGGAAGGGCAAGGAAGATGCTGAAGGGACTGGAGCACCTCAGTCATGAGGCAAGGCTGAGGGATTTGCGGCTGTTCAGTCTCGAGAAGAGATGACTGAGAGAGATCTCATTAATGGATTCAAGTCCATGAATGGGAAGTGCCAAGAGAATGATCAGACTCTGCTCAGTGGGGGAAGCCAGTAAGGCAAGAGAGAACAGCAAAAACTGATGCCCAGGAAGTTCCACCTGAATACAAGGAAGAAGTTCTTTCCTGTGCAGTCAATGAGCACTGAAATGATTGCCCAGACAGGTCATGGATTCTCCCTCTCTGGAGGTATTCCAAAACCCTTTGGACACAATCCGGAACCATGTGCTCTAGGGTGGCCCTGCTGGAGTAGGGAGGTTGGATCAGATGACCCACTGTGGTTCCTTCCAGCCTGACCCATTCTGTGACTCTGTAGAGTGTAGTTTGCCATCCTGACCCCTGAAAAAGCAATCTCCAGCATTCAATATCCCAAGAAAACTGGAGAATTCAGTTGGCTTTGTTTAAACATGAGGTTGGCACTTGACCATACCCATGTGTGAAGACCTCAATGAAATCATTGAGCTGCTTTATAAAACAGGATCGATCAATCAGGTACTAAATCTTGTCAGTAAATCACAGAATAATCATGGTTGGTTGGAGTCCAACTATTAACCTGTCACTGCTGGAATCCCTGAACACTAAATCATATCCTCCAGCACCAGATCCAGACACCACTTAAACACTTCCAGGAATGGTGACTCCACCACCTCCCTGGGAAATATTCCAATACGTGAACACCCCAACAGGGAAAACATTTCTCCTAACATCTAATCTGACTCTGCCCTGGCTCAACTCAAGGCCATTCCCACTAGTCCTCTCCCTGCAGCCATAGCAGAAGAGACATCCCCCACCTCTCTCCAAGCCCTGTCAGGGAGTTGGAAAGAGCCATGAGATCACCCCTTCTTCTCTTCTCCAGGTTAACCAAACCCAACTCCCTCAGCCCTTCCCCATGTGCTCTAGCCCTTTGCTGCCCTCGCTGCCCTTGACTCACTCCAGAGCCTCAGTGTCCTTCCAGCAGTGAGTGCACAAAGCTGAGCACAGCACTGAGCTGTGACCTCCCCAATGTACCCAGTCCAGGATATATTCCTCAAGTAAGCATTCTGATGTCTAAAGGAAGTGCAGTTTTTACAAAAGCCATGGTGATAATACAATAAATTCAAAAGTATTACTTACTAAATGCTTCCTCTGTGAGCTCTTCACTTAGACCATCTCCAGTTGTAACTGTTCCCCCAATTCCCTTTTCTCCTTTCATTGCCTAGAGAACACAAAAAAAAAAAGAAAAAGAAGGCTCAAGATTTTTCTTTTCAAAACCCCAAGAGCTCTAGCCAAGCTTAGGAACTTGCAGAAGAGTCACTGTGCAGCAGCTGGAGCCTGAAATCCAACACCTGTAAAGCTCTATGGGATTTGAGAATGTGCCTCTTACGAGAGTGTTCTTCATCTTAGTCACACTCCTAAAACAAAGACTTGGCAAACCAGGACTGTGCAGCTCTAAGAAAGGCTTTCACCTTCTGCAGGAAGGCAAAGGTCTGTGATAATCCAGAAGGAGCAGTGAAGAGCATTTACAAGCAATCACAGACTCTCAGAACCTCCAAGAATGTGCAACGTTTACTCACCAACCATACACAAGTGCCATGATCATCACACAACTAAGAGATGACATTTAAAAGCAAGATGCTGAATTTCTTTTCCCACACCAAGGACTACAGCCAGAAAGGATCATCAGCACAGAAAGCCAAGGCTCCCAGTCATCTGCAGCAGTTTGACAAGTAGGAAGTTTGATGCTATATATATATATACATATATATATATATAAACATCTCAGAAAATAATATGGGCATTTAAAGTGCTCTCTGCAACTGTTTGCTGGAGACTAAATCCTCAGTTACAAGAGAGGAATATTTCACTGTGCATGGCACAGACAGAACTAGCTGGAATGAAGATTTAAAACTGATGAGCAAAACTATCCAATCCATCCAGCCAATTAAAACCTAATCCAACCACTCTGCTGCCACAGCAGATGTATCTCCAAAACGGCCAATTAAGTCCGAAAGTAGCACTGAGCCACTTCAGATTTCAGTAGCACTGAAGAACCAGTTAGGCATTGTTAATTAAAGCACATTCAGCACTGCCACAGCATGTACCACTGCCACGCAGAACTAGAGAAGGGTAGCACACAGCAGCCCTTCAACTTTTAGACTGCACCTCCTGTTACTCAGTTATCACAACAAATGACCTCAGGGAAGGAGAAGCTCTAAGTGCTGTCAGCAAATCCAATATCACTAGCCATTCTGACCCCATTAATAAAAAACCCCTTAGCTTTAGAAAACAAAGACACTCTGAAGAGCATCACTACCTACAGCACTGCCAGTCTGGGGGTGGAGGGAGGCAGACCAGGACTTTGGGGTTTTTTTAACCCAAGCAGAAGCAACTTCCTATTTCAAAAAGTCTGAACTGCTGAAAGGAGAATAAAAAGTCACTTTCTGCTAGAGAAGGGACAAATGAAATTGCTTGGAGAACATCCCCAGCATGTATGGTGTATCAAAAGCAAACTGAGGGACAGGCTACAAACCACCTGCACCGAGGCAGAAAGGCTTCCATGGGAATCATGATTCTGACACAAGGAAAACAGTTGTTCTTTTGCAGATCTGAAGTCCAGACAAACAAAAGGGCATTAAGCTGCTCCTCACAGGATGCAGAGGATGTTTGTCTTGGACAGGGTAAACCAACTTGATAAATGCCCCATTTGCAAAGCTATCAGTGGTAGATGGAGAAGGGGACATCATGCTGCTTTTGGTGTTGAAATGATGCTGAAACCAGTCTGACTCATCAGGCCCAAAGTAAAATATCCTGAGGGTGAGATGAAGATATGGTAAAACTGGTAAAGGAACAAACAAATGATACTACTGATAACTTATCTTAAACTGCTGAGCTGACACAGCTGGCCTGGAGACATCTTACAGTCAATCACTTTACTACTATAAAAGCCCAGTCCCAAATTTTAAGGGCAGGATCTTCTAACATATCTCCTCTTGGAGTGTATGTGTGAGGATTTCTCCCTGGAGTGGGGAGTGAGTCAAGGTCACTCCTCGAGGCTGAGAGAAAGAGATTTGCCCACAGTCATTGGCTTGGGTGACTAACATCAATCTCTACTTAATAATTGCTTTTACTGCTTTAATGCAACTGCTTTAACATTGCTTCAATATTGTTTTGTAGTGCACTGTATTATAATAGTTGTTACAGCTTCTATACTGTGTAGTAAATAATTCTGATTAACAACTTTTTGTCTAATCATTCTCATAATAAATCATATACATTTGTATAAATATCTCCTTAATCCCTGCAGGACAAAGCTGTACAGATGTTCACTTACACCTGTATAATCCTTTTGACATAAACCACTGACAAAGCTGGGGCTAAGATTGGATCCAGACCCACCAGGCTCCTCTCTGAGGAGTTTAGAAAGCAAGGAGGTCCTTCCTGCCCTTCAAGACTCAGCAGGAGCTTCTCTAAAAACTTTGTCTGAAGCTCCCACTCTGCCTGTGACAGCAGTCTGGTACAGCTTTATTGACTGAACACAAAGATCAAATCAAACATTCTTAACAGGCACCTTTAAAGGACAGAGCCATTCACTACAGCAATGTATTAGGGGATTTATTCAGTTGAAAGCTTTAACCACTCTGAATCAACAAGTCTCATCAAAATGCTTTCTTCCTCCTTTTTGTCTTGCTCTCCTCTAGAATGCTTTAAGCATTACATGACTCCCTGACTAATAGCTGTGAGATCCTGTGCAAGTTATCCATCACACAGTGACAGCTAAGGATAAACATAACCAGGTTAAATAACTGAGGAAATACCAAAGTATATACCAACCTCTCTGAATTTCTGGAGGTATAACTTCAAAGGTTCAACATAGCTATCAAACCCCAAGGTAGACATGGCAAAGAGAATGTCCTCTCCATTGATGGTCTTCCTTTTCTCTTGGTGACACCTCTCACTTGCTTCTGATGTTATAAAGCTGATGAATTCACTTACACACTCTTGCACACATTCCTTTGCGTCCTTAGCAATCTAGCAAGGAAAAAATATCATAAAAGATTCATTAAGACGCAAGAAGATGTAATAAAAACCTAACCACAACCCCCCCTCCCCAAAAGAATACATCAGGTAATAAAGAAAACATCTCCAAACCTGATGGTAATACCCATTTAGGCAACATCTGTATAGGGAACCACTGGATGTCATCACTGCTCTATGCAAGAACAGCTGCAACATGATTTTACCTCCGGTTTACTGTTTCAAGCAGCACACACAACTATCAGGATCTCCTGAAGTCATAACCATGTCCTGAACAAGCTTTTATCAAAGAATCAATCAGAGAATCATAGAATTGAGGGGTTGGAATGGACCTTACAGATCATCCAGCCCCAACCCCCTGCCCTGGGCAGGGACACCTCCCACCACACCTGGTCGCTCAAGGCTTTATCCAACCTGGCCTTGAACACTGCCAGGGTTGGGGCAGCCACTACCTCCCTGGGCAACCTGTGCCAGTGTCTCACGACCCTCACAGGGAAAAGCTTCTTCCTAATATCTAACCTAAATTTCCCCTCTTTCAGTTTGTACCCATTGCCCCTTGTCCTGTCACTGCAGCTCCTAACACAGAGTCCCTCTGCAGCTTCCCTGCAGCCCCTTCAGATCCTGGAAGGTGCTCTGAGGTCTCCACACAACCTTCTCTTCTCCAGGCTGAACAGCCCCAACTCCCTCAGCCTGTACATTTATATGTAAATGCATCTTGGTACTGCTTGCTCTGCTCACCCGTGTCTCAGCACCTCCTCATTTCAATGTCACAGCCCAATTCCACCTTCCTTTTCACAGCCCCAGCAGTTCCAACCCCACTCCAACACATCCCCACACATTGGGAAGGTGCAAGTAGTTTTATCCTGACCAGATTCAGGGACTAGAATAGATGCCTAGCAGCAAGTCTTTCTACTGCTTTAATATTCTGGTATAAATGCTCCAAATGAGAATCCAAATGGAGAAATAAATGCCTCTGGCAAGAATGAAAGAAGTAAATTTGGTTCTTGTTTTCAGTTGGACATAAGTAGTTTACCTGACTTAAAATTAGAGCAAGAATGACTCATGCTGACTTGGGAAGCTGACAGGAGTCAACACAAAGGTTATGGTAATTAAGACTGTTATTCTTCAGATGAGAAGCTGTTTGTATTAAAAAATGAAGCAGTAACTGTATGCAGAATCTTCACTAGCTCCTCTTTTATTTTCAGACATGCAGAATGAGATTTGCAGAAGTCACCAGCCAGCAGCTTCCCTTGCAGTTTCTCCCAGAAAAACCTGATTTTTCAAGATAGCTCTACATCCCATCTGCTAAATTCCTGAAGAAAAAAAAAATCTCATCCTGATCACTAAAAATTTATGACAATATGGACTAGGGTAGAGTGTTTTTTCACAGCAGAGTTATAAATGTAACATCCAGATCTCCAGAAAGCCCTGAACACTAGGAAAGTACAAGCAGATGCAAGTAAATTATGTCTTGCTTCTATTTAGAGTGATCTCAAAAGAAAAAAACTCCACCAGAAATCAATTTTAGCCAGAGGAAATGTTACTGGGGCTGGAAATGGATTGGAATACAATAGAGAAACAGCAAAGGTTTAAGATGAATGCGTAGTATAATCAAACACACAAGCTCAGCAGAATGGATCAAAAAGTCCATTCTTAGAAGAAATAAAATGAGGCTTTCAATATCTGTCCTTATCTGCTACCTGGTGCAAGGCAGAATTCTGAGGCAAGTTTGGCAGAAGAACTGAGTGCTGGAACACTAACCATTCTCTTTCCTTCAGGATGTGGGCTGGATTTTTACTTCAGTCAAAAGGGGTTCACTTATTCCAAGTTTTATGCACCTCAATAAGAGCATATTAAATCCCTTGACTGAATTCCATAAGAAATGTTCTTAGTGGTACAGGATTGTCACCAAGTCGGATCCTCTACAACAATTTCAGAGAACATCTCAGGCAAGGAGAACACTTGGGAGTCTTGCAGAGAACACTGTTCTGGATGCAGCCACTACTAAAAGCCTAACAAAAATGGATTTGGTCTCAATCACCTCCTGCTCCCATTTTTTTTCCTTTTCTTCCCAAATAAACCTGCATAATTTGGAAAAATATATTGTTCTACCAGCTCGAGTTCACCGAGAGGGAGGATTTAAAACCCATCAACACACTTTCTTTGCCAGACAAGGGTATTACCTTTCCTGTTTGGGGTATGGCATTTTTCATTATCCTTGCCACATTTGCAATGGGAAGATAAATATCTTGTTCTCTGAAACTCTCTTTTGAGCCATTTGTATCTTCATGGTCGTTCATGCTGTCCTCTGTGTCTAATGAAACAAAGGAAAGTTGGCAAAAACTGTAGGGTAGGCAATAATGAAGGCAGTTTCAAATCTTACACTGAAGGATGAAGCACAGTGTGTTAATGTTGTAGAAATAATGAAAAATAAATAGGTGCAGCACCAGGGTAACCTTTATAAAGGTATCATCTTTATCACCTCATGCACAGAAATGCACATGGCTGATCCCCAAACATGTCAAATGTCAAAACACAGTTGTTTTTGTTATCACCTCAAGGTCTTGGTGCCAACATGGAAAACCCCAAACCCTCCCTCAGACTGCAGAAAAAATGCTTCATACTGTAAGGCATTTTGGATACAAACAACTGCCAGTTCTTCACCTGAGAGAAGATGGAGAATTATACGAGAACTGGAAGGAAACAGAGATATACACACACACAAACACAAACAGTAGTACTTACTGTAACATTCCTTACCATCATGAGGCTGTATGACATAGTGACTGCCACCAATATAATCTCCAGCAATTCCTAACTGAGAAGCATCCGTCGTGGAGCTATCACCATCCATCTACAACCAGAAGACGGAAACCTTTCAGGTGGTGATTGTTACACTATTCAGTGCAGCTATTACTGCAAACCAGCACATTCATCTACTTTATGAGTCAAATGTATACAAACCATAAATATCTTGTCATTTGAGAACAGCATCCCCACTGTGGTTACTGAGCTTTATTGACAGAGGAAACAGTTAAACTGTTTTGTGAGGCTTCCTCAAATACTCAGCCAGAGGCACAGATCATCTGGTTCATGCAGCATATATATAAGCAATCTTGTGTTGTTCCCATGAGTCTGACCAGCACAGATCAAGGTATGTTTCTCTGGACAACCCTCAAAGCCTGCAGCAAGCCCCTGAATGCTTTACCTGCAGTTACTACAGAGTACATCCTCCACTCACCTTTACCCTCCACTCAAACAGCTTTTGTCAAGCCCACTGACAAACTCCTAGCCAAACCTCTCTGGCTCTGCAACCTCATCCTCTCCAAGGCAGCAGTCACTCTTGGGTGCCTTCCAAGTCATGTTTTCCTTTGCTGTTGCTGGTCCTGCCCTGCCTCACTCTTCTGGGCATCCTCCGGTGCTCCTCCGTCAAATTCTGACATGGTGGCCAATAAGTGAGGCTCTGGAGATGGGGTCATAGTTTAATAGGTAATTTGAATGCCAGGAGAAAGAGAGAAGCTAAAAGAGACAGTACTGGAGTACCTCCCCTATGAAGACAGGCTGAGGGAGTTGGGGCTGTTCAGCCTGGAGAAGAGAAGGCTGTGTGGAGACCTCAGAGCAACTTTTCAATATCTGAAGGGCCTACAAGTGATAGGACAAAGGGGCAATGGGTTTGAAGAAGGG